TGGCGTATAAGACGACCCCCCACTTGGAGGCATATTTTTCAGGGCCAAAAAATCGTCTTATACGCCGGCAAATACGGTACATATTTTTAAAAATCTATGTTTAGGTTTTCATCTTTATATCCTTTTGTTCTTGTTTTTTCATTCTCATCTTTACTTTTTTTCTTGCTTCCTCCCCTCCCCCATTCATTTACTTTTTTTAAAAATATATTTTATTGATTTTTTACAGAGAGGAAGGGAGAGAGATAGAGAGTTAGAAACATCGATGAGAGAGAAACATCGATCAGCTGCCTCCTGCACATCTCCTACTGGGGATGTGCCCACAACCCAGGTACATGCCCTTGACCGGAATCAAACCTGGGACCTTTCAGTCCGCAGGCCGACGCTCTATCCACTGAGCCAAACCGGTTTCGGCCATTCATTTACTTTTTGACTTTGAGTTATTTAACCTCTTTTTACCTTTTAATTTTGTAATATACAGTATGATACTTAATGTTATTCTATATTCAACAAACATCTATTGAATAACTACTGTTTCAAGATACTGTACTGGATGTTGGGGCCAATATTCATATAAGGCTGCGGTTCTCAATGTGTGGGTCGTGACCCCTTTGGGGGTCGAACGACCCTTTCACAGGGGTCGCCTAAATACATCCTGCATATCAGATATTTACATTATGATTCATAACAGTAGCGAAATTACAGTTATGAAGTAGCAACAAAAATAATTTTATGGTTGGGGGTCACCGCAACATGAGGAACTGTATTAAAGGGTTGCATCATTAGGAAGGTTGGGAACCACTGATATAAGGTAATTGCCTGATCTAGAATATAAGTGTAAATACTTGCAATATAATGTGATGAGTAAGGAAGGGACTGACATTTATACTCTACATTATTCATCCAGTAAGTCATTCATTAAACACTTCTTAGGAGTCTACTTTGTTCCAGAAGAGTAATAGCACACAGCTCCTTTTCTTACAGACTTATGGAAGTCTGCTTTATAAATAGATGACCATTTATACTAATGAAAGGGTAATATGCTAATTAGACTGGATAGTCTGGGTGACCTTCTGGACATCCTTCCCGACAAAGCTGGGGCCCGGGCGGCACTACCCACGGTCTCAGGTGCCTGCAGCCAGCCTGGGTGGTGGTGTCCAGGGTTCCGGGTGCGCCGCCTGGAGGAGGGAAGCCTGGGTCCCATGTGCAGGGACTGAGGCAGAGGTGGTTAGAGGCAATCAGGTAGGCAGGCAAGTGGTTGGGGTGATCAAGCAGGCAGGCAGGTGAGCAGTTAGGAGCCAGTGGTCTGGATTGCAAGAAGGTGCAGGCTGGGCTGAGGGGCAGTCCTCCTCCCACCCCTCCACCCCCGTGCATGAATTTTGTGCACCTGGCCTCTCGTCTCTATATATAAAAGCCTAAGCGACCATCCGACCGGTAGCTATGATACACAATGACCACCAGGGGGGAGATGCTCAACGCAGGAGCTGCCAAGCTGCAGTGTCTTGGCAGCTACGGTTCTCAGGTGATGCACCTGGAACCAGAGAGGAGGAAGCCTGATTCCAGGGTGTGTCACCCGAGAACTGCCCCCTGCAAACCAGGACCCCCTCAGGAGATGTTGGAGAGCTGGTTTCGGCCCGATCCCTGCAGGCTAGGCCTAGGGATCCATGCACCCAGTCTCTAATAGTGTGATAAAAGAACGTGAGGAAAAAGGTCTTGGGAACATATTAGGAAGTGATTAATTTTGCTTTGTGAATCAAGAAAGACTTTTGGAGGAGGCAGTAGTTGACCTTAGTCTTAAAGGGTTTACCCAAATGAGCCATAGATCAGAGATAGGCATCGCAAACAGAAGGAATTACTCATGCAGAGAACACGGGAAGGCTGCTACTCGGTAATAGCTTTGGGGTGGCTTCACGCACCTGAGAGATGAGATGCTTGTGAGAGATGAAGCTGTCAAAGTAGTCTGGCCATGCTATGGAGTTGGTACTTACAGAAACAATGGTCTGTTGCAGCACCATCCAAAAATTTTTTGTGATGATGGAAATCTCTGTGCTGGTAACTTCAATAGCCACTTAGGCACATGTGTGGCTGTTAAGCTGTGCTGAAATGTGACTAGTGTGTCTTAGAAACTGGATTTTGAGTTTTACTTAATTTTAATTATTTAAATTTGAATTGTCACACTAATTATGTTTTTTACTTTGTATATTTTATGATGCTTTGACTTGACACCTTGGGGCCTTGATGGCCTTGGAGAACATGCCCCTCCCAGGAACAGCTAATTCCCAAAGATAATAAACAACTTGCCTGTGGAGCTCACCTTCCATATGCAAATCAACCAATCCAAAGCCTACATCTTCCCCTACCACCTGTATCTAAATCACTTACCAACCGGGATTTCCCGTCCCAAATCACCCTGGGTCAGGTATGAAACAACTAGGGACCACCTCAACAGCTGAGAGCCCACTGAAATTATTCACTCCTAAACTGCTTACCCTGCCCCACCTTGCTGTTCCCTGGAAGCCACAATAGTCTGTGCCCAGGCTTTCCTGTCACCTTCCACCTGATCAACCCTGGTACTTTCCCCGTGTCCTGTGTGGCATGGAGCGTTCCCTCCTCTTGGGAACTGTAAGTAATAAACTTTCCTTTCAAGGCAGTTGTCTTTGTGTCTGTCATCTTATAGCTGATTAAAACAGCGGTTCTCAACCTGTGGGTCTCGACCCTTTTGGCGGTCGAACGACCCTTTCACAGGGGTCGCCTAAGACCATCCTGCATATCAGATATTTACATTACGATTCATAACAATAGCAACATTACAGTTATGAAGTAGCAACGAAAATAATTTTATGGTTGGGTCCCAACATGAGGAACTGTATTTAAAGGGCCAGAAGGTTGAGAACCACTGGATTAAAACAAAATCTTGAGTACAAATCAAAACAGTCTGGCTAGTGGCTACTATATTGTACAGCACAGATCTATAGATAGGCCTCTCCCTCCCAAGAAGCAGTTCTTTTTCATTTCTAGAAGTTTAGTTAATCAAAGGATCTATATGGAATGTTTCCACTTTGGTTATGAGAATAGAATAGCCAGCATGATCCTTATCCTTATCCTTATCCTTATCCTTATCCTTACAGAGCTTCGTTCTGGTGACTAAAAGATTACACCCATTGCCCCCAAATTTCTACCATATAGCATTAAGTTGAGCTGGCAGAATATTTTTGTAAAGGAGTTGCCACTAATATCCTTAGTCTCTACTAAAAGCTAACATTTATTGTATATTTTTTTTCTGTGGCAGGCATAATAGGTTGTTTCATGTAGAGCTCATAACAAATCTTTGGCATTGTATTACATAAAAAATAGTTTCATGCCCTGGCTGATTTGGCTCAGTGGATAGAGCGTCAGCCTGCGGACCAAAGGGTCCCAGGTTTGATTCTAGTCAAGGGCACATGCCTGGCTTGCGGACTCTATCCCCAGTGTGGGGCGTGCTGGAGGCGGCTGATCAGTGATTCTGTCTCACCATTGATGTTTCTATACCTCTTCCTCTCTGAAATCAATAAAAATATATATTTTTTAAAAAAGTTGCATTTTGGAAAAGTTGGCATTAAGCCAAGGAAAAGTTGGCATTAAGCCAATCTTTCAATAGTTGCATAGTAAAAACAGTTATCTCTGGAGAGTAGTTTTACCAAGAGAAGAACAGATAAAATGTTATATCTGTTGGATTTGACTCATGGTGGATGAGAACAGACTTACTGTCCTGGACTAAACCTGGTTAAGTACAGTTTACCCACATAAAAACTGGGAATAATTATGGTACCTGCCAAATATAATTATTTAAGCTAACAGTATTAAATGAGATAAAACAGTTGCACTCTTAGTATATTCATTATCTTTAACATTTATTAGTATGCCGTGGCACATAATCTTCTGTTTTTTCCTACTAAGCTATTTTTACATAGTGCTTAGAAAGGTACCCGATAGGCCCTGAGGGAAGGATTTCAAATGATAACTCTTTAAGGACAGAAAGAATTCCCTGCAGAGCCCAGCAGAGGCTGGACAGTAACCAACATTTGATAAAAACATGCTAAAATGTTTATCTTATTTCCCGGGGTGTTTTTTTTTTTTTTTAATATATTTTATTGATTTTTTTACAGAGAGGAAGGGAGAGAGATAGAGAGTTAGAAACATCGATGAGAGAGAAACATCGATCAACCACCTCCTGCACATTTCCTACTGGGGATGTGCCCGCAACCCAGGTACATGCCCTTGACCGGAATCGAACCTGGGACCCTTCAGTCCGCAGGCCGACGCTCTATCCACTGAGCCAAACCGGTTTTGGCTTCCCGGGGTGTTTATCTCCACAGGCATAGGGACCATTTAATTTATGTCACTTACATTTCCTGTGCCCCAGAACGGTGCTGAGAACTAAAGAAGGCACTTGAAGAACACTTATGGAATAAGATGTATCTAACAATGAGAACATTTCATATACAAAAATTTTAATTAGTTTTTTAAAATAGTAGCTTTTACACAACATCTACGCGTTTCTTTAGGACTCACTATGCCTTACCAAAAATGTAAAGCATTGAAACTAAAAAGTTAAAACATGTTCTGTCTGAAATTATATATGAATGGTAAAGTACAGATATTCTGTTCTGTTCTTTTAAACATTGTAGAAACATTTTCTTAACCGGTAAACTATATCACACATTGAATTTGGTTTATAATTATGGGTCGTATTTCCTGAAAAATAGATAATGATAAACACGAGTATACTTAGGATAATGACAGGATATTTGACATAGGACCTATCTCTGAAAATTTTGTTTTCTTTTTCACAAGTCTTAAGTTAGCCCACAAATGAAACAAGGTGGTCCTAAGTAAGGGCGGTTGATTTACTGATTTATGGTTTTAAAGATGAATAGTTCAGAAATTGAAGAGAAGTAAAAAATAAAGAGTCTGCTCAAGGATGAGACATGCTATTTGAGTTCCGTGAGAGCACTGCAGACTAACACATCTGTGCATGTTTAGTTTCAGAATGGCTTCGGTTATTGCCTTTCCTTGGTGTACTTGCACTACTTGGCTACCTTGCAGTTCGTCCATTCCTCCCAAAGAAAAAACAACAGAAGGATAGCTTGATTAATCTTAAAATACAAAAGGAAAATTCCAAAGTTGTGAATGAAATAAACATTGAAGATTTGTGTCTTACTAAAGCAGCTTATTGTAGATGCTGGCGTTCCAAGACGGTAAGATGTCCATTTATACATACACTAAAATTTTGTGTAATTAAAATGTTTTCCTTCTGAAATCCTTAATTTTGAGGATCTGTGAGATGAGAGGTTTTACCATTGTGTTCAGTACCGAAAGTCTATATTCCTAAATTAAAGTTGCATTTTATGATCCATACTACATTAGAAAAGTTAGAGCAGCAAGGAAGAAGAATGATGATGTTTTTACTATGTTTTATCAATTAGCTAAAGTAACATAGTTTAAAATACACCTGTATTGTGAGAGAGGACATAAGGTTTAGTGGAAGAGCTTTGGAGTCTGAATAAATTTTTTTTTAATATATTTTATTGAGTTTTTACAGAGAGGAAAGGAGAGAGATAGAGAGTTAGAAACATCGATGAGAGAGAAACATCGACTAGCTGCCTCCTGCACACTCCCCACTGGGGATGTGCCCGCAACCAAGGTACATGCCCTTGACCGGAATCGAACCCGGGACCCCTCAGTCCGCAGGCTGACGCTCTATCCACTGAGCCAAACCGGTTTCGGCGAGTCTGAATAAATTTTGGTCAAAGCTGATGACTGCCACGTATAGTATGACTTTGGGAAAGTTACTTAATCTTTAATCTCTGATTTTTAATTCTGATAATATATCAACATCACAGACATTTTCAAGGATTTAGTGAGATGATGTATGTACAGTGCCTTATAGTATGAGCTAGTAAATGTTTTGATGAGATCTGTTCTACTTTAATCATAAGTTATTTGAGGTTTTAAGTACAATAATGTTTATCACATCATCCTTTAATAGCAAAGTGTTAGAAACAATCTAGAATCTGATAATAGAGGAATGATTAAAGTATGGTGTAATAAAAATGATATAGGGTGCACGGCCAGTCTGGCTCAGTGGTTGAGTGTTTACCTACAAACCTAGAGGTCATGGGTTTGAATCCTAGTCAGGGCACATACCCTGGTTTCCAGCTGGATCCCCAGTAGTGGGTGTGCAGGAAGCAATTGATGTTGATGTTTCTCTCTCATTAGTGTTTCTACCTCTCTATCCCTCTCCCTTACCTCTCTCTCTAAAACCAATAAAAGCATATTTTTTAAAATGATGGGGTATTAGGAAGCCACTACAAATCATGTTTTAAAGAATATTTAATGGCATGAAAGCATAATATAAGTAAGACAAGTATATTACAGTTTTTAAAAAATATGTTCTTATTGATTTTTTGAGAGAGAGGAATGGAGAGGGAGAGAGGAGAGAAAGGGAGAGAGAACATCGAAACCTGGGCATGTGCCCTTACCGAGAGTTGAACCTGTGACCTTTCTGTGCATGGGATGACGCTCAACCAACTGAGCCACAGCGGCCAGCTTATTACAGTTTTTTTTTTTTTTTAAATAAAAGTGAATACACATAATAAATGCAGAGGAAAAATATGCTATAATGTTGTTACCTATGAGTGAATTTTTAAAACTATATTTTTTTAGTTTTTCAAAAATTTTATAATATGCAGGAGTTTTATATAAGAAAATATTTTTATATATTTTGAATTTAAATTACATTATTTTAAATTTAAATAAGTGAATAGGTGAGTTCAAATTTAGAGCTCCGCAGAGAACAAAAGCTTATTGCGATCTCCTTTTAAACATGTTTTATTGCCTCATATGGAATCATCCAAAACTTTTTACTTAAAATTGACACCAAATACTGAATTAGCTATTTAAAATTGTTAGATTTGCTGTGATATAAGAAGTCAGGTTAGGTGAAGAAGAATACATCTATTACTCAGGCAAGCTATCTGATGTATTATTTTCTTTTTCTAAAGTAATGTGCATTTCACAAATATTTCTACTTCTTGAATCATTTAAAATAACAGGTGTAATTCTTTTTCCTTTCTAGTTTCCTGCCTGTGATGGTTCACATAATAAACACAATGAATTAACAGGAGATAATGTGGGCCCACTAATACTGAAGAAGAAAGAAATATAATAGTAATGAATTAGTATTGAATTGTGTGCTGTAAAATCTTATAATAATATCTTTTCATTTTTTGTGTATAGATCTTTCAAATGGTGGTCTTAATTACTACTATTGGTGGAGTAATTATTTCCGCCAATTTATTTTCTTGCTACACTACTGTTTATATTTGATACTTCATATATTCAATCATATAGAAATTAAATTGTGCAATCCTTTTATTCTGACTTCAAAGAATTAATGTATTTTCCTCCAATAAACCAACACTTCTTAAATAACAGGTGTAATTCTTTTTCCTTTCTAGTTTCCTGCCTGTGATGGTTCACATAATAAACACAATGAATTAACAGGAGATAATGTGGGCCCACTAATACTGAAGAAGAAAGAAGTATAATAGTAAGGAATTAGGATTGAATTGTGTGCTGTAAAATCTTATATCTTTTCATTTTTTGTGTATAGATCTTTCAAATGGTGGTCTTAATTACTACTACTGGTGGAGTAATTATTTCTGCCAATTTATTTTCTTGCTACACTACTGTTTATATTTGATACTTCATATATTCAATCATATAGAAATTAAATTGTGCAATCCTTTTATTCTGACTTCAAAGAATTAATGTATTTTCCTCCAATAAACCAACACTTCTGATTTTAATTAATTGAGGAAATATCTAAGTCTGGGGCAATAGGTCCCAAACTGTTTCTTTGAAAATCAATATTTTCAATAGATTATATAATTTATAATTTTCTCCCTACTCTATTAAACATATTACCTTTCAGTTTGCTTCTGTCTTGATCATTTGAAGGACTTGTTTCTTTTTCAGTCTTCCACACTCCATTCATTTTAGATCAATAAGAAAAATATTGCTCTTAAGAATTACTTGAGTTTTCAAAGAGATAAACTCTTTGCTTTAGAGAGATTGTTGTCTAGTAAATATAAATATCCCAATTTCAGGGAATATGTGAACTGGATATAAAATGTTCCAACAAGGAACACTTATTTACATTATAAAAGTTTGTTTACTTTACAGTGGGCTTGTTTGCCTCTGTTTAGGTATATTGTGTATCTTGAGCTATTTGACTCATTGACAGGGTGGGGTGGGGTGGCAAGAACACTTACACCTAAAGTCATGAGCTGCTGAAATTTGAAGGTCAACGAGAAATAAACATATTTTTAAAAAGTTCAGTGGTCAAAATTGTATTTATATGAACATTTTCCTCTTTATAACAGTGTAAGCCAATAAAACAGAATACAAAAAGTTTGCAAAATAAACTTACTGGAGAAGCTTCAAAACTTTTGTAATTTTTTAGCCTAAGAGTCTATTTGGTTTCATCTTATACTGTATTACAGTTCTTATAGTATTAGCTATTCTGTCTATTAAAGGTAGAATGCACTCAGCAGACTATGCCTTCATTATAAGTGGAGAAGGTACAGGAGGCAGACGTGTAACTCTTCTTCCAATCATAAAGTTATTCAGCATTTACTGTACCAGACACTGCACTGAGCATAATACCTACATTTTTAATTTATTACATTTATGTCAATAGGTTCTGTGTGATCTTGACTTTCACATGCAACAGCAGG